AAGTAAACACAGACTCATCTGCTCCCATTTGTTCTTGTTCTTAACAAAGATAAAAAGTAAATTGAAATGAGTTTCATCAGAGTAGAGACTCTGAGAAATTCTACCCAAAATAGGTGCCAGATTAGAATTTGAATATGCTGGGACTCGGATAAAGGAGACCTATTTGGCAGAGGGATTCTAGTGTCCTGAGTTCTAGAACAATCTATAAAACTTCTATTTTTTCATTTGCTTTGGGACAGATAATGCAAAGACAGCATGTAAGGAAGGTGTGGGTTAGTCTATTGCCTCACCGTATTAGGTAGAAAAGTTTTCATTTAAAGAAGTCTTCAGAACAGAATGTATTTTTATGTCGTTAAATCATCTGCATAAGAAGTCATTGGAAGTCAATGTCCCAATTTTAAAAACACATTAGTTGTGCTTCTTGGAAGTATCACTTGAAGGAGAAAAAAAGGAAAACACGCAGAAGAATAAAGTCTTTTTGACGAAGAGGATCCAAAGGACAATAAGAAAGGCAGGGATTACCCAAAGGTGGCTACTAAGTCCACCTGTCCCCTTTCCCACTCTGTTTTTCCCAGCAAAGCTATGAGACTCTTCTTCTGGATATGACTGGGCAGATGATAACAGCAGGTATCCAAGTTAAAACTGCCTGGTGAAAGAGAGACGCAGCAGGATGTGTATGGGTGAGGTGGGAGGAAATGGGCTGTTTGTATAACTTTTCCCTCAACCAGAGCTATGATTTCTGCAGTCTTATTGCCTCAGAAGTTGGAATGGCTTTTGTTTTGTTTTAGTGTGAGTGCCATTATTTAATAAGACATGAGGTGGGAATGTTAAAAAAGAAGAGAACTGTTCTTTGTCTTTGCTTCTGAAAGTATGGTCTGTGGATCAGCAGTATCAGCAGCACCTAGGAGCTTGTTAGGAATACAGACTGTCAGGACCCACTCAGACCTACTGAACAGGTAGCAGAATCCCCAAGCAATGTGTATGCATGTGAATGTTTGGGAAGCAATGGTCTAAAGAGTTTCATGAACCAAGGGGTTGAGAAGGTAAGTTAATTGCCCCTGAGGTTAGAGCTTACACTCTCTATGGACAATAGTGCTACATTGTCCAAGAAGAGAATAAAAACACTCCAATATACTCATTCCTTTTGGAGTCCTGGCATTCATAATAGCTTCTCAGATCACCCCATTAATTGTTTACACACGCTTGCATGCTCTATATATCAACCAACAGCAGTAAAGAAAGGAAGGATGGAGGAAGCAAGAGAAGGTGAGAGGAAGGGAGGAGTGAAGGAGGAAATGAAAAGAGAGAATAATCTCTCTTTTGTTTATCATATTTTAGACATTAGCGTAGAGTCCTTTTATTAATAGAGTCTGTGATTTGAACCCCTACCTGCCATTCCTCACTGCCACTCATTCCCAGGGCCACTCATTCCCACGACTTCTCTTCTACTGCCTCCAAAAGCACCAAATAATGAAAACTGAATATACTATGTACTTGGCACATAGAAAAGTATGGACCTTTACATGAGACATTTGGACAATAACAAAAGGTGAACTGATGTGATGCTGTTTTAAGGAGAAGAGATGGAGAATGTGTCTATACAATATCTAAGAATTGGAGATTTGGCTTAAGGGGTCTAGCAAACAAGAGTTGATGATCTCAAACACAATGGGGAAATCCTCGATGGCTCAGAAGTCAGGAAGAAGAAAATCTCATGGGAAATTAGCCTCCCACATAGAAAACTTCCTCTGTCACATGATAACACAGCCAGAGAAGATATAAGAAAGGCCTGTGGGAGGTAGCAGAGGTAGTGAAGAATAATGAACTGATTACCTGAATAAATGAACATTTTTATTGAGAGGAGAGTGACCCGTTCATTTCCACATCCAGGAAGAACCAAACCAAAGACAAACTACTTTTGAGTAAAAATTAAGCAGAGTTTCCCTAGAGAGATATAACACTTGGGGCCGACGTTAGGGGTTGCAGACTCATAGTAACTCACACTGCATATTCTCCCAAAACAAATTCATTCCAGTGAGATATGGATAAAATGAACCATAACTAAAATAATCAAAATTTGAGGGAAAGGTTGGAATGGGGGGGAAAGATCTTTCTTGGCAATGTTGGGGGCTCTTTCTGGGCTCATTGCATGTGACCAAGCCTCATGTTTTGCATATCCATTGTGCTGTGTTAACTTCTCTAAGCTACTGTGTAACAGGAGAGCAGAGAAGATCCGTCTGCCTGAGTCCATGTACTAAGGATGGCTGTGCTATGAGGCTTTGTGTAAAGTCGTGAATACATTTCTTAGGGTCAACAAGATGTCCCTTTGGAAAGCTTGCAGAAATAAGCAGACCCGCCTGTTCTGAAGCGTTATGATTCCCCCTTTGGGAAAGGAAGGACCTTCCAGCTTTATGCTCCATGCTTCTCAAGGCGTGTGCCCCTCTGTGAGCATGATTCTACCTGCCTCTTAAGGTTCACTCAACTTTAAACCCAAACCAAGAAAACTAGTGAAAACATGTGATGATATTGATCCCGGTAAAATAGACATGTAAACGCCACCCGTGGTCTGGCTTCCCAATGGAGAACCGCCAGGAAGCAAGTATCTCCTGGAAGAAGTTCTGAGAAAAAAATTCACACCAAATACTCTTCTTGAATGTCAAAAGTTACTGGCTACTAAACATGATGACATGCTGTTGAAAAATACCTTTCCTGTTCATCTTTAAATCCATTATGAAGATGAGGAAGGTCTAGTATTAAAGCCATGAAAAGGGTAAAATAGCCCTTAATAAAAAAAATAAAAAATAAATAAAAGGGAAGCCAGGGTGGCAGCACTCTATAAAAATGAATAAGCTCAGCATAATATTTCAGTCAGAGAAGGGCTCTGCCTCTGAGGCAGATGCCTGCGAATCTCACCAAAGCAGCATTGTTTTTGAAATTTCCCAGCCTCGGGAAATGGTATGAAGCCCAGGAAGGCAGTGCATCGGAGGCCTCCGTCTCTGGTTGGTTCGCAGGAGCTACAACTGGCAATGTGCATACCTTTAAAAGTTGCCTGGGCTGACCCATTCTTTGAATATAGGTATGTGAGTTTTAAGACTCTTCTTGGTGGGGGACTTAAGAGATCCTATATACTGTGGATATTACTAATAAAAGGACAGTAACTGCACATAGATGACTGAATTTTCTTCTCTAAAAATCAGTATCATCACATGTTTTCACTAGTTTTCTTGGTTTGGGTTTAAAATTGAGTGATCCTTAGAGGCAGGTAGAATCATGCCAATGTTTGGTAGTAAGTAACTTTTGACATTCAAGAAGAGTATTTGGTGTGAATTTTTTTCTCAGAACTTCTTCCAGAAGGTATTTGTTTGTGACTATTCTTTATTTTTGACATTGCCTCTCATGAGGAGCAAGCTGATTTTGACAAAATTTGCTTTATTGCCTCTTTTTCAAAGGGCAGGAGAAATGCACAAGGATAATTTTAAAATGAGCCTTTTCTGTGCTCTGGTTTAAATTTTGTTGTTACATATGTGAGCTGACATTATCTTTGTATGAAAATTTGGCCCATCTCATTTTTAATTAAGATGCTGATTTTATGAAAAAAAATTGCAAAAAAATCCAAAAACCAACCCAGTACTTTGTAATTCAGTCATAATAGATTATATGGGAACCCACCAAAATATTTTTATTTATGACAGGAGCTGGCACTTTTCTTTTGTTTGTTAGCTCTTAATAAACAGAGGATCCTGGCTAAATTATAGAGGTGCTATAACTTGGGCTTGGATCTTCAAGATATTTGAAAGCTGTTCTAACTCCCCCCACCCCCAGCTGAGATAGAAAATGATAGCACTCTAAAAGCAGAGCCTGATAGAACAGTTACATAAAATGTCTTTTCAATTTTTACCCTCTATTACCCTTTAGTATTATAGGAAAATGGTGTTATTGCCGATTACTGAGAGAACACACAAAAATCTCTCCTTCCAAATCTGAGTCAGTCCTTGCCTAGTGATGAACAAAGCCAGGCCATCTGCTCTGAATATCATTACTAGTTGGCCATTTGGGCAAGGGATCTATCTTCTCTGCTTCCAAGAGAGGCTTAAGATCGGAAATTTGAAAAATGAAATAAGTCGACAGGAAGAGACGTTGGAACAAATAGCACTTTCCAAGGAGAGCCGCATTTGTGAGCTTATTATGATCATCACCATCATTTTTAATTTTCACTCTGGCCACAGAGTTCACCTTTTGGGGTTTCCATTTTACAAACCATTTCAGAAAAAAACCCCAAACACAACTTAATTTCCGAGTTTCTGCAATAAATGCTTAGGCAGGAAAACGGGCGTGTGGGTGAATATGAGTCATCAGTCACCCCCACCCTGCTTCCTGGCGGTTCTCCATTGGGAAGCCAGACCACGGGTGGAGTTTACATGTCTGTTTTACCGGAATAACACGATGCCCCAGGCCATGTTCATTTCCTGAATTAAACAGTTCCTAATCTGCGGAAAGACAGCTGGCTAACTGCTGGTGTCTGGCAAGTGCCCATCTGTCCCCCTGCCCGGGGTCTCTCTCTCCTGTCTCCACTTTTCCTTCCTCCCAAGCAGGCGCCTCCCTTTGTTTTCAGAGGTGACGTCCACCTGAACTTTCCTTCCCGTGCCGGAAAACTTGGGCTCTTTTCCTCTACCCTGCGGACCTCCGGCTTTGTCTAAGTTGACCACACACAGTTGTGTTGACTGTAGTTTCGGCGCTGGTGATGGTGGCGATCATGACGGCGATGGTGGAGATGGGGGTGCTGATGGTGTAAGGGGGTGCAGGCTGAGCGGGCGCGGGGAGGAGGAGGATGGACCCGGGAGGTTGGGGAGCACAGGGTGCGGGAGGGATAGAGGGATTGCAGATGGGAGCTGTCCGCGCACCGAAGTGCTGAAACGCCGCAGCCATGGCATCGCAAGAGTGGGAGGAAAGGCGGGGAGGCGCTGCGAATGCAGAAGGGAGAAAAAAAAGGCAAGAAATACCTTCACACGGCCGCCCAGCCTGGCTTTGGGAATGTGTTTCTGCAGGTGTCCGCGCTGCTGAGCTGAGTAGGTGAGATCCCCTATTCTGGCAGGTTCGGGCTCAGATTTCTCTAGAAAGCTGTGAATGAGAGCCCGGCTCCACTGGGCTGTGATTTTGGTAGGAGGCGTGTGCGCGTGCTGGAGACTCTGTCCTTCTATACCGAGCCTGGCTTTCCCCTGGGTCCTAAATGCCTCCGCTCCATTTCTCTCCCCAAGTCCGTCAAGACAATACTAAGAATTATTGTAATTTTGCAACAGCTGGGACAAAAAGTCCCGAGAACCATTACACATCACCCCCTAATCCTATAAACAGAATCTTTCCATTAGATTAATGCAACTTCTGAAACAGATCAGAGGTGTGTGTGTGCAAATATACCAGATGAGAAGGTAAGTATCACAGACCTATGGGGGAAAGAATAGATTATTTCACTAACAAATGTGGTTTAAAAAAAAAATGAATGATTTGGGAAAGACTCAAATTAAAGTCTTCTCCCACCATAATTAACCCCACATAGATTAAAGAGCTAGATACAAAAGTTAAATTATTTTTAAAAACTAGAACATAAAAAATATTTTTCTGATCTTAGGATAGAAAAGGTTCGTAAAACACTGTAGGAATAGAAGCAACCACAAAGAAAATAGATCAATAGTTTGAATGCATAAAAGTTCTTTTGAATGCAAAAATATCATAAAAGCATAAATGTAAATACTACTTGGAAAAATTGCAGCAAATATATGTTTCACACATCAAATACCTCATATATCAAAAGAAAAACACTAATGGCTTTAAAGGAAAAAAGAGGAAAAGCAAATGACAAGTACTTCACTAAAGAAAGGTGAATGCATAACAATAATATCTTTTAAAATCAACCCCACAAGTAAACAAAGATACGTAAGTTAAAATAGCACTGAGGTGTAGTTTTGTCTAAGTTCTACATCTGCTTATTTTCTCAGATTGTGTGATAATAGTGAGAAAGTGCAACCTTTCTGTAAGTCTATTTCACAATATACATCAAGTGTCATAAAATGTACAAACATTTAGACCTAATAATTTCATTTATGCACCTTATGCTGAAGATATAGTCAGCTATGCAGATAAATATTTATGTACATAAATTAAATTCATGATCATAGAAATTGTTGAAAACAATCAAAGCATGATAGTTTCTTGTATATAGTCTGTAGTATTGGCAACTGTTAAAAACATATTTTGAAGACTATTATAAACAAAGAAAAATGTTCACAAAATGGTAAGTGAAGAAAATCAAGATACCAAAGACTGTACTCCCTCCCTATTGTCAAACTGGTAAGATTGTAGGATAGCAGGATGAAATTACAGGTAAATTTGCTTTTTATCAACTTGGACAACTTGATTTTCTTCTTGTATTTATATAAAGTTTCCATATTTACTAGAAGAAGAAAACTTATGAAGTATTTTAAAGCAATCTTTTTATTATATATTTTATAGACTTTAAAGTTGTCAGAATTCTTCCAATGTTGGTGTAGCATTGCATATTTACTTGCCTGTTTATTCTCATTCTCCTTCTCTCTCTCTCTCTCTCTCTCTCTCTCTCTCTCTCTCTCTCTCTCTCTCTCTAATAGAATGTAAGCACCATGTGGTAGAAATTTTTCTGTTTTGCTCACTACTGCTTCTCAAGCATCTAGAAGTGTGCCTGGAACATCACAGGAGTTAAATAAATATTTGTTGAGTAGAAAAATAAATGAATGAATGGATGACATAACCCTCCCACATAAAAATATAATTTTAAATATTTTATAAAAATATGAATTTCATATAGAATTGTTATTCAAAATGGCATGGTACAACAAAATAATCTGAGTTTACCACTGAGTTTTGATTACATATAAACTCAATTAAAGGGACCTCTTCAGTGGTATAGTTAATCATGACTTGCAGTGGCATCAGATATAAATTTTTTAAAACAAAAATATTCTTCAATTAATTTCCACTCTAATATTCCTCATTTCTTCTTGATCCTGATCTTTTTAAAAACTTTGACTTTCCTTTTTTTCTGAGATGTTAATTCTAATTATCCTATTTCTCTTCATCCTTTCCTCTATTCCAGTGGTCGGCAAACTCATTAGTCAACAGAGCCAAATATCAACACTACAACGATTGAAATTTCTTTTGAGAGCCAAATTTTTTAAACTTAAACTATATAGGTAGGTACATTGTTATTAACTTAATTAGGATACTCCTAAGGCTTAGGAAGAGCCACACTCAAGGGGCCAAAGAGCCACATGTGGCTCGCGAGCCGCAGTTTGCCAACCACGGCTCTATTCTATAAACATAAACCAACAGCAAGACCTAAGTGATCCATAAGCTGATGATTTAAAAATCCTTTTTCAAAATTTTAAATAAACTTGGATAACTTTTCCCAGCTGATGTTCCCTTTCAGTTTTTATTCACTATTAATTGTAACTTTTGAATGACATCGGTGATAACCTAGCCAAGTTTTATTTGTATTTTCTAAGCTGAGGTAGAAAAAAAAATACATCATATCTCTATACACATATATGTAGCTATGTATAAATAACAATGCTTATATATGTGTATATCTGTGTGTGTATATATATATATTTTTTTTTCTCCTTCCTCAGAACTCTTTATAGTGGAAAACTATTTCCACCTATATGAGGCTGAGACATAAACCCAGACTGCTCCTCCTTGATCATGTGATAGGACTCACCTAATATAATTACTACAAAAGGTACTGGCTGCCAAAATACGGACATATGTTCTAAAAGTTTTACAAGCAGTTTTTAAATGTACTCGCACCAATTAGAGTGAAAAAAAATAGTTTAAAAAATCACTTTTATTGATGATTAGAACAGAGTTGCTCCATATATTAAAATATTTACTTTTTCCCAAAGTGCCAATGAAAGTGCACCATTTCCCTTTATGTTCATGAGCATCAGCCCTGTGTTCTTTGTGATAATACTTACCTTTCCATACAGTTTAATATTCCTGTGTAAGAACAATGTCCCTTTACTGAGTACATGTCTTCACTGTGTTGAGTCAGTCCTTTTGTTTCCCAGGACCTAGATTGTCTTTGCTTAAAGCTTTCGCCTGTGCACTGTAAACCAAAGACTTCTGGATGGATTTCTTTTCTTAATCACTTCAGATATTCTGCACAATCCACTCAACCTCCACCTCAGCTCCTCATACTATAGCTGCCTATGCATTTGTTCGTAGGATTCCTCCAGGTACCCCTTTGAGTGTAAACAGCCAATGCCAAGGGTTAGATGACAACAAGCTGAAGACATCTGGGAGTGGTCAAGACAAAGACTGAGTAATTCAGAGATTCAGTTTGTACACCATTTTCCTACTTTTTAAAAAAGCTTGCTTACCCATGTAAGCTTTTGAGGGAATAAATGCTGCAATTTATAAATGTTTAACTATGTGGTTGTGTGGTTTCTTGAGTGCATATTGCTACTCAAAGAACTGGATGTTTGCTGTGACCCAAGAAAAACAGAAACTGAAATATGCCCAACCGAGGGCATATTCTACACTTTTCATTTTATATTTGGCCAAGAAATATAGTGGGGGGGGGGCAAGAACTTCGCAAATTCGGTGCCAGGGGTCTTGGAGGACAAAGGAGTAGGAAGCTTTTCCCAGAGACTAGAGTGAGGCCCTAATGAAAAAAATAAAACAAAACATACAACAGACAAAAACCAACAAAAAAATCCTCTTACCCCCACTGTAGGAGAGATTAAGGGAGCCAAAGTCACCATTGCTCCACCATAGACGTGGCAGGTCAGGTGCTTCTCCCAGCTGGGAACTGGATGGTATCAATAGACCTCGCATTTTATTTATCACATTTAGAGTTGCACCATTAAGCTGGAATTACCCTACATTGCCATATTCTACTATGTCCTGGGCAAGGGTAGCTATATGCTTAGTAAAGTAGCCCATTTCCTTTGGAGTGACATAAAAAAGTAAGGTCAAATTTAGTTCACATCCAGCCCATCTCCCATGTAGGGTGGGTGCATATAACATTTTTAAATATATATGTATACCTCAGCCTCCTTAGGGGTTGCCAGGGTTTTCAGTTCACTTCATTTTCATAGGATACTGGGGGTCCATGGGTTATTTCAGTTACGTAAGGCTCACAGGCTTTTTACTCCAAGGTCATAGTTCCCCTGGAAGTATGATTCTCTGAAGTCTGTAGAGGTGCATTGTCTGTCTGACAATCAGTTTTATTTTTCCAGTAGCCACACTATACTTCTTTGGAAATATAGACCTTGGATCTACTATATTTATTTGCTTTTTTTATCCCCACATTTTTCCTCAATATATTTGAGCATCTCTGGAGTTATAAGTGGTAAAGCCAGATTCTTTATCTGATTTTTCCTTCCAGAAATTGTAAACCAGTAAGAGGTTTTAAGTAACCATGACGGTCACATCCTTAATCTGATTCTTGACAACAATATTTGGCTTTAATGAACCTTTTCTCCCATGCTTTCCTAATTTTATCTGTTTCTTTGGGAGCAAAAATTAATTGGATAGTCAAACATGACAAGGTCTTGGATTCCTGGAAGTCTCTATTTTCTTTTATTTCTACTTATGAAATCACTCATCTCTTTTTTCTCTGCTATTTTGAAAAATGCATCAAATAATAACCTAGACATCCTACTAACACTTTGTTTTGCACACACTTCCCCCCAGAGATGTGAAATCCTTATGTATACAATCTAATTCCTAAGTTATCATAGGTGAGTATTTTAGCAAGTATTTTACCACTGTATAACATGGAATTGTTATCTTTCCTCCCTTAGATAACAGTCTCCTAAACACATGTTGCCAACTATTAAGTCAGCACTACACAATTTATTTTTTAATACAGCACTTCACTTCCAGGAGATAATAGGTTATGCTTCAATAATAAATAAACCCCAAGTTCTCAAAGGCTTAATACAGCAAAGTTTTACTTCTCGTGCCAATTGGAAGGGAGACGGGGTGGGAGAGATGGAAGGCTTCTGCTCCACAAAGTCAGACTCAGGGAAGTGCCATCATATGGAAAGCCGTGTGACAGGGGAACAGATATATGAGAACTCTTCTTCCTCCTGCCACGTGGAAGTGCTA